ACATCACAAACAAAACCTACCAAGACAAAGACTATTTAATGAGTTGTTTATCTACACATACAATAGTTTTTATTTGCTTAAGAATTTGGTAGACTTTTAAGATGTGAAGAAATCAATATCTTCAGCGTCGTACGCACTGCATTCGTAAACAAATTCTTCTCCGACTGTACTCGGTGTGTCTTTATCTGGGATCACTGGAGTCTAGAATGTTTCTAACTTGTCCGATATAGAAAGTCCGGTACAAAATGAAAAGATTTTTAACCAAATTTCGACTCACAATTTATGATAAATATAACTTTAAACTGACAAAACGAAAAGAAACGAGACTGTCCTGAACAATTAGCACCAACATGAAAACCTTACCGTACAATGATGTAGTGGATTATTTCAGACAATACAAGTAAAGAAAACTAAAATGCCCTAAACATCGCGCCGAACGTTTACAACATTCGAGTAAACGACCAAACATTTAATACTCATACATGGGTCTAGTCGGTACCCTTTAAATTCTAAAACCAGCCTCAGTACACAGTGTACAACGCCAGTCTGAAAATCAAATACAGCCCTAACAATTCAGATACTGGAGCAGTACACATTGAGGTCTGGACAGTAAATAGAAATTCCGTGGTCCACATTACCGTTAAAAGCTGTCGCTGATAAGTTGTCAAATTTAAAATTCAAGCCACTACAGAAACTCTCCCCCGCAAAGTATAAAAAATATGGTCCAAAAAACGCCCAGAACGATATCGTGAGATTTGAATGCCATACTTTGGAGATTATAACGTTATTTACAGTGTACATATTGTCGAAATTACAATATCTTAAACTACAGAATACTGTCAAGGCAGTGTCGGCTAGGATAACGCCTTATTAAAGAATTTAATCAAAACTTCAATTAAAGTTCAACTTTCAATTCAAATCTTTATCAAGTTTTTATAAAAGCATAAGTTAGATTATAATAAGGTTAGTTTTCCTGGTCAGACGCACCTAAAACTGATGTCGAATAGGCCAACTGGCAAGACATATGTGCTTTGAGCATACACGAGTTTAGACCGAAGAATGCAATAACTCGCAACCGGTACAGGGGAATAGGTGCAACTAATGCAACAATGAAACATACATATACATATGCCAAAATATACATTTGACAGTGCTAAATTTCGTACACACTCGCGTCTTTGATCTTGCCTGGAATCGAGACGTTATATAACCAGCGGTCATGATCATAAAGGGGATACTAATAAGCTCGCTACGCTGTGTTACATAATGAAGTAAGTTGAGCATTTCTATGTTGAATATCTAACACCATCGCCGCCCAGACAACGGACTGAAACCATTATTTGATACGCAACTAATAACTATAAATAATTCAGAATTATCTTTTATCATAAACATAATAGGTATCTAATAATATAATATGCTTATTTTTCTTCAAGTTTAGTATAAATAGCAGGGGGGAGGGGGCAACAAAACTAGGACTACAGTCTATACTCAGTCACAATGATATCCCCTCAATTATTTCCCGCGATGTTTTTCTCCGACTCCATACTTCAATACCTTCCTACTCGATTTCTGGGAGTGCTGTGGATGAGACAACAGTGCTGGAGGGGGAGACACGTGTGACTGTGGTCAAGAGCTTCCACTAATTACATACGGCGAAGGCCCGTGAAGATGTTCCGAGTCAGTTTCGTCTGTAACGTAATCACACGATGACGTGATACCCTAGTGGGTCTTATCTGTGCACATGCATTCCTGTCCAGAAACCGTTCCCNCATCGTTCATTAACATATAAATTAATAATTTAAGAGTGACTTAGTTTCAACATTCCTTCTTCAAAATTCAATTTACCAGCGAAATTCATAAACAAGCTTTAATTATGGAAAGATTTAACTGTGTTAGACGGTATGCTTTAACAGAGAATGTTATTCATAACTATTTGGACACCACAGGTTCTTCATAAACAAAAAGTGAAAATAATCCAACTCGTTATCCCAAGTAAACCACGGTTCATAACTCCGGAATAATAAGATACGAAAGAAGCATAAATTAATACTGTTTTCATTTCTTGTGATACGAGTACTTATTTTGCAATGATTTTTTTTCCAGACACGTTTAATAATTAATTAAAAGTAAAATCTGCGTCTCATTAATTTTAATTCAATTCTCAAAGCCATGTCGTTTACATCTCCCACGACAATTCGCTCACTGTCGTTACTTCTAAAGACTCCCTTCACATACACAAAGTAAATACTAATTACTGCTATCCTGAGTCACTAACGACCACGTGCAGACCGAGATAGGTAATGACGCGTCACGTGATGATGTTACCGTAGTATGTAGAAGTATATTTAGCTTACCTAATTGGATAATTAAATTATCGCAATAATTCTGCATTTTCTGATAACGGAAAGTGTCAAAAGTCTTGATTCACATGGACAGCCTGGCTGAGGAGATTGGGGGNATCGGGGTTACGTATTTTAACATAACAGGTGTATAATAAACAGCATCATCAACAGAAGAAAAGCATTATAGATTAAAAAAAATCCGGTTTGGTAAATTGCACAACATGAAAGGGATAATCCTGGAAGGGGCTAATGGCCCTGGACTCCTCAGAACGAAAAAATACCTCCCATGTTCCATTTTTTTTTTAATTTTACAAAGAATGTCTCCCGTGGTTTTCCCTGCACCTATATTTGTGTAGATTTGTGGATTTCATAAAGCTTTACATGTTTTGTGATTATATACATTCCACAAGTGTTTATTCCAATCTGATTAACTTGTGAAATTGAGGGTGTCAGTGGTGCTAATTATATCGTTATATCGACATACGACTTGTGTTCACTCTCGTACTATTAAACCATTTTACGTACGCCTTGTTACCGTGTGACTGATGTTGCACAACGCGATTAAAAATTGAGTAATAAAACTTTTCAAAAGAAGTCTTACACTTTTAAAAATGTCATTGAGTCCACACTTGTATAGATGTAGTCTCCCGATACTCATGAAAGTTAACTTAACCGTCCAAGGGTTAGATAAACACTAGGGGCTGACGCTAAAATTAACTAGGGTTTGGCGTGGCAGACGACACTGACCAGCGAGATATAATGTACACAAGAACCCATAACGAACTCACTGTTGGCAGGTATATACTATAATGTGTCTACACGTTTTATGGACTTCTGTTAATGTACTACAGACTTACAGTGTCACTTTTGTACGTTACATAACGTTTATCAGGTATTTATGTCCGACAAATATGTGCAAGTCCGCCACTCCTAGGCGATTATATATAGGTCACCAGGTGAGAACGCATACCTGTGCTGTACAGGTAACATACATGTGTGTATGTCTACCGACACAGGTACTTAGGTAGGACGCTAACAACCGCAAAATGGCTTTAAACGACACACAAAAATCTTTTCATAATCAAAGTCAAATCACAGGAACCGGAAGCAAACATCACCGATACACCCTGGTTCCGGCTTTCTCAGACTCTGGACTAATAATGCGTTGAGCCGTGTCTTACCTTTCAAAGCAAGTTCATGGCAAAGAAACATACACAGTATTTACAAAATAATAAACTCACTGGACGTCCAGTCGGAAAGAAGGACCTAATTACGCATAACAGGCCATTGGTCGTTTGCTTTATCAAATACTGATTAAACTAAATCTATAGTAATCCCTATCACAAACAGTTCAACTTAATCTAGCAGGTTAATGCAGACATTGTATAAATATTGTTCTTCTGGTGAAACGATGTAAGTATGTGTATATACCAGGTACGTCACTAAACGTTGTGCTATATAATGTCGATGATAAATACGGCTCAGGAATCGCAGATTGGAAATAAAAATTGAAATGATATATTTCTAACATTGCTTGTAAATTGTAACACATTAACTTACTAGCACATCTTGAAGTGTATAATGTATCCTTAATGTTCCACTAACTGTCAATTAGTTATAACTTCTACGTGTGTCAAAACCTCGTTAATATAGACACCGATTGTGGCATTTTATTCTTATAATATATAAAAGAAGACCTGTAGGGGCCGTCTACTTGTCCTATATACTTTTTTACAGGTCGGACTTGGTGTATATGATATGTAAATGACTGGGGACGATCATTCAGCTTTATGCTACAATAGGTCTATGTAGATAGTACTATTGTCTCGAGTCAGACATAAATACCCTGCAGTTGACATAGATTTGATGACCTGTAGATAGTGCCTGGCTAGTGCAGTGTATATATAGTCGGCCATAGTATACCATTGAAACTGATCAAAGTCGTTTTAATTACCAATTCTTTATAATGGGTGGTTTTTGTCCGTTTGACTTCTCGACTTTTCGACCTCCATATGTCGACGGACCGAATCCGTTAGGGAGGATTGGGCAGGAGGAAGCGAAAGGGTTGGGGAGGAAAAGCAGTGTAATTGGGGAGGGGGGGGGGGCTATATTTGGGAAGGACCAATAATAAGCGGTGGAATTTGTCATATATCGCCTAGTGTACTTGTTGTATGTATCGTGAACCTCGTAAATCAACTGTAGATACCAGTGTGTTATACTTAAGACTTTAATGGCATCATTGTCTTACATTTTGTTTCTCAGATAAAGGAACCATTGAGAATCGCCGACAATACTTATGTATTTATTAGATCCCAGGTGTATATGTTGTAATATAATGACCGACATCTACATTACTTGGCCTAGCACACACATCGTGTCAATGTTGCCAAAGGAAAAGTATAATTGAAGACGGAACGAGTGATACAAGACAACCCCTCCCTCCTCCCCCTCCAAGGCAACACCGGGACACTATCCCCCTCCCTAAATGACTCGTACGAGCAATATAAATAACAGAATAAGATATCTACCTAAGTCCGTGTGTAAATATAGTGATTACGACCCAAATATTTCTGACTAACTCGTCGCTTAAATTACCAATTTTTAAACTCGGTAATTCTGATACTTATATTTTATGACATTAATGGTTATACTTACATCTTTGTGCTCTCCCTGAACGTATCGTTTGATGAGGGAAGTTTTACCACACCCACAGTCTCCTACCACCACTAGTTTGGATTTCACCACAGTCACTGTAGAGGCCGCCGCCTCGGTCTCCCCTCCGTTTTGACCCATAGCTGGTCTCTTAATTCCAAAGAGAAATATTCACAAATACCACGTTCCAAGGACAGTTGTCAAAACTAAGAATTCACACCACTTTCTTCAAGTAGCAGTGTGTTTATAAACTTCAGAGCTGCTCACGACTATCCTCCACGTGGTGTCGGGGCGCTGTCAGAATACTTCTACCCCCACATTTCACGGGCTGACCACAACTTTACATAGCGTAAGATAATTAGTGGTTTTTACTCGGTAGTCAGGGCTGCACCTGTGTAACTAGATAGTCTTATAATCACACACGCCCGTCACATTCACAAAACGACCAGTCACCCGTCCGTATCATCACAGCACACTGCTCGCTCACAATAGTAATGCTAGCTAGGCCTAGTGAGAAAAATGTGAATGACTGCAGTCATGTGATCCGTCATTCTGGTTCGACCAATCAGATTCCGGGTCATACCGGGTCAATTGAGCTGAATTGTAGAAAGGCCCAAAGGAAGGGTTTTCTAACTCTGGCTTTGAGCTAATCTACTGTAGCCAACACGCACTTTCATAATTACTCCAAAGAAATTCATCTACTAAGGATGACATTCAACGAAACCTGAGATTATTCACAGGTTAATTATAATAGTTCAATTAAAAGGATGTTTACTGATGTCGCTTTATATTTGAAAAAGGGCCTCATCCGGTCTTATTATGAGACACCTTACAATAAGTGTTTGACAAGGTGTGAATGGGGCGAATACCTTGGTGATAAGGGGTACACTTAGTCGGTGTCAAGGCATAATACAGTTAACACATGATTTACACACACGTGGATAGGAATCAATCAAGTTTATTACAACTTTTATCAAAATCTCGGTATTAGCAAAATATAAATAAAAAATAAACATAATTTTATATAAAGTATATTTCTGCTTTTACCGTTCAAGTAAAATTCGATAATATCGATAATTATTGAGATGATTATTTTCTTGCTTAACGTATAATGGTTATGGAAAGCCTTTTTTGTTTAACAGTTGTAACTAATACTATTATCCATATGTTGTAAAGCACTTTAGAGTGATTTTACAAATTCTAATGGGCGCTATGTAAATGTTGTATATTATTATTATTATTAAAGACCCCGGTGAACATTTAAGAATTATGAGTGTAAATCTTCAAATCAGTTGAATGACCTTTCTAAAATGCCCATTTGATAATGAGTTATATCGTGAACTTGTCTTCTATAAACAGCGGATAGTAACATTAGGTTATTGTCACACTGTTGATGGTTTCATTCAGAATTCCCCCTGGCGGCCAACATGTGTTCTCACACTTCACTGACACCGATTGTACCTATGATAAATAACCTATTGTAAAAATAGTTATGTTGTAATTCTACTATAAAATGTCGGAAGCCTGTCTTACCTGCAGCTACTAATCACTGGATAGGTAAGATCTACAGGAGTGTCGCGACAGGTAAAGCCCTTTTTACTGTTCCGGTGTCAGGTTGACGTGCCGGAACAACAGGTTAGCTTTATATCAGCTAATAAATAATCTAATGACATGGAATGTATTTATCTAGTTTTGAGGAGTGGGGGTAAAAAATAAATAAACCTGATATTATCAACGACTTCTATTTTTTTCTTTGTAGATGGTGTCAACAAACATGTTTTGTTTTGTTACTGAATGTTGATATTCATCATATACATCTTCCGATGCAAGATTTATTTAATTGTCCTCGCAACAGACTGGATCATGTGAATACGACCAGAGGGAAAATAATATATTGAATCCGAGACCTAAATGATTTTATTCACAATCGTCATCATATCTTAGAATGGACTATGGGGACAAGAGTCATGATATGTATTATATTGCTTGCTGATAAGGAGACACTATTGATACAGTAAATATTAATCACGTTTCACCCGCATTCATTGTCACAAATGTTTTAAAATCCAAAGAAATGGTATATGAAATGTAGCTTGCTATCAAATATATGACCTTGGCCCATAGTGAAGGTCGATTTGGTTATTTAAGATTCGAATGACTCCGGCTTGTTTTGATCGAAATATACTGTTGTTTTAATATCGGTTGACTTCTCTCCCGACACGAAGTACATGTACCAATGAACTTAAGCCATGCATGGCTGGTCTGGCATCCGATGTCCGTCATCCTTTGTCATAGATTTGTTTAAATCACTTCTTCGAAAGAACCATAAGGCCTATGGTCATCACAACTGAAGTAATACTTGCTGACACCAAGTGACTGTAATAATATCCAATGACTTACCTTGATCCATAGTCATGGTCATTGGGGTCGAATGTGTTAAAATTTGGAGAAAAGTAAATCGGCCGACAGCTTGCTATCAATTTGTTAAAATATTTTACTATGATCTATACTGATGTTTACAGGGGTGAAACGTTTTCACATCCGGTAATGCGGGTAGTACTGATTACAGGGACATTGTGGCTGCTGTAATCATCATAATTATCACCGTATAATAATTGTAGTACCGTTATCATTGTGTTGTGTTTATAGTGCTTTATGGTATGATGCGTGTACTATTATTATTCTTGTATGTGTGTGTCTGTCCATCTGCATGTGTGTGTCACTATGTAAGGGTGTGACCATGAGCGTGTGTATGTCCCTATGTAAGGGTGTGACCATGCGTGTGTCACTATGTAAGGGTGTGACCATGCGCGTGTGTGTGTCACTATGTAAGGGTGCGACCATGTTTTTGTCACTATGTAAGGGTGTGACCAGGAGCGTGTGTCACTATGTAAGGGTGTGACCATGAGAGTGTGTGTGTCACTATGAAAGGGTGTGACCATGTGTGTGTCACTATGTAAGGGAGTGACCCTGTGTATGTCACTATGTAAGGGTGTGACCATCTGTGTGTCACTATGTAAGGGTGTGACCATGATCGTGTGTGTGTCACTATGTAAGGGGGTGTCCATGAGCGTGTGTGTGTCACTATGTAGGGGTGTGACCATGAGCGTGTGTATGTCACTATGTAAGGGTATGACCATGTGTGTGTCACTATGTAAGGGGGGGGCCATGTTTTTGTCACTATGTAAGGGTGTGCCCATGAGCGTGTGTGTGTCACTATGTAGGGGTGTGACCATGAGCGTGTGTATGTCTCTATGTAAGGGTGTGACCATGTTTTTGTCACTAAGTAAGGGTGTGACCATGTTTGTGTCACTATGTAAGGGTGTTACCATGAGCGTGTGTATGTCACTATGTAAGGGTGTTACCATGAGCGTGTGTATGTCACTATGTAAGAGTGTGACCGTGTGTGTGTCACTATGTAAGGGTGTTACCATGAGCGTGTGTATGTCACTATGTAAGGGTGTGCCCATGTGTGTGTCACTATGTAAGGGTGTAACCATGAGCGTGTGTGTGTCACTATGTAAGGATGTGACCATGTGCGTGTGTGTGTCACTATGTAAGGGTGCGACCATGTTTTTGTCACTATGTAAGGGGGTGACCATGAGCGTGTGTGTGTCCCTATGTAAGGGTGTGACCATGAGCGTGTGGCACTATGTAAGGGTGTGACCATGTTTTTGTCACTAAGTAAGGGTGTGACCATGTTTGTGTCACTATGTAAGGGTGTTACCATGAGCGTGTGTATGTCACTATGTAAGAGTGTGACCGTGTGTGTGTCACTATGTAAGGGTGTTACCATGAGCGTGTGTATGTCACTATGTAAGAGTGTGACCGTGTGTGTGTCACTATGTAAGGGTGTGCCCATGTGCGTGTCACTATGTAAGGATGTGACCATGTGCGTGTGTGTGTCACTATGTAAGGGTGTTACCATGAGCGTGTGTATGTCACTATGTAAGGGTATGACCATGTGTGTGTCACTATGTAAGGGAGTGACCATGAGCGTGTGTGTGTCACTATATAAGGGTGTGACCATGTGTGTGTGTGTGTCACTATGTAAGGGTGTGGCCATGTGTATGTCACTATGTAAGGGTGAGACCATGAGCGTGTCACTATGTAAGGATGTGACCATGTGCGTGTGTGTGTCACTATGTAAGGGTGTTACCATGAGCGTGTGTATGTCACTATGTAAGAGTGTGACCGTGTGTGTGTCACTATGTAAGGGTGTGCCCATGAGCGTGTGTATGTCACTATGTAAGGGTGTTACCATGAGCGTGTGTATGTCACTATGTAAGAGTGTGACCGTGTGTGTGTCACTATGTAAGGGTGTGCCCATGTGCGTGTCACTATGTAAGGATGTGACCATGAGCGTGTGAGTGTCACTATGTAAGGGGGTGACCATGTGTATGTCACTATGTAAGGGTGAGACCATGAGCGTGTCACTATGTAAGGATGTGACCATGAGCGTGTGTGTGTCCCTATGTAAGGGTGTGACCATGTGTGTGTCACTATGTAAGTGTGTGACCATGAGCGTGTGTGTGTCACTATATATGGGTGTGACCATGAGCGTGTGTGTGTCTCTATGTAAGGGTGTGACCATGAGCGTATGTCACTATGTAAGGGTGTGACCATCTGTGTGTCACTATGTAAGGGTGTGACCATGACCATGTGCGTGTCACTATGTAAGGGCGTGACCATGTGTGGGTCACTATGTAAGGGGGTGACCATGAGCGTGTGTGTGTCCCTATGTAAGGGTGTGACCATGTGTGTGTCACTATGTAAGTGTGTGATCATGTTTTTGTCACTATGTAAGGGTGTGCCCATGAGCGTGTGTATGTCACTATGTAAGAGTGTGACCGTGTGTGTGTCACTATGTAAGGGTGTTACCATGAGCGTGTGTATGTCACTATGTAAGAGTGTGACCGTGTGTGTGTCACTATGTAAGGGTGTGCCCATGAGCGTGTGTGTGTCACTATGTAGGGGTGTGACCATGAGCGTGTGTATGTCTCTATGTAAGGGTGTGACCATGTGCGTGTGTGTGTCACTATGTAAGGGTGTGACCATGTGTATGTCACTATGTAAGGGTGTGACCATGTGCGTGTCACTATGTAAGGATGTGACCATGAGCGTGTGTGTGTCACTATGTAAGGGTGTGACCATGAGCGTGTGTGTGTCACTATGTAAGGGTGTGACCATGAGCGTGTGTGTGTCACTATGTAAGGGTGTGACCATGTGTGTGTCACTATGTAAGGGTGTGACCATGAGCGTGTGTGTGTCACTATGTTAGGGTGTGACCATGACCATGATCATGTGTCACTATGTAAGGGTGTGACCATGAGCGTGTGTGTGTCACTATGTAAGGGTGTGACCATGAGCGTGAATGCATTTTCTTTTCTTTCAACATTGTTCGAATTGTACGTGTATTGTTCTTTATTTCTGTAACTTATAATTTTGGAGGAAATAAAGGAAATAATAATACAGGCACATCATATATCTTTTTAAGTGATAACGCGATCAGTCAACGATGTCTTGTGATGT